GTAATGCATTAACTAAAAACACAAATAAAGGCAGTAAGCTCCGTAACATCAGCCTTAATAACAAAAAAAAAAATAAATAAATAAAAAATGCTGTACATGATTCTGGTAAATGCAACTGATTCTAATGAAAGATCGTACTAATTCAAGTAGAAAATTGAAATTAATTTAGGTAAAAAGAGATGCAGTTGGTTCTACTAAGAAATACAGCTTGGTAAAGTGTTACAACCAATTTCGATAAAAGTTGTAATTAATTCTAATAAATAGATGTTTGAATTAAATCAGCTAATAAATTAGAAGCAAATCAATAGAGTAGTGCATATTTTAGAGGAATTAAAAATTTTATTAAGACTAGAATTGAATCAGATAGATAATTAGGATAGAATCAATAAGGATATATTCGCAATTATAATAAGCTGTCAGATAATATCTTATTATGTATTGATCAAAACAGTTGCAATAAACTACTTATCTTGCATTTATAATACAGTATTAAGGCATTTAAATTGGGTAAGCTAAAACGTAATACATTTGTAAATTCTTTGAAGAGGCTTTGAGAGAATTATATACTCAAAAGTTAAGATTACATTGACTAAACTGTGATACAACCCGTGCAAGGTGGTTCAAAATCTCATATTTATGATGTACAAAAACAATAATCAATTTTAGGAAGTAAGAAAGTGTTTTAAAGAGTAAATTTATTCATCGCGTCGCTTTCGTGTGCCAACAATCAAATATTACGACCATGTGTAACGTAAAAAAAGCAAAACAAGCACAAAATCACTTATAACTCAAACTTTAGTGTATGAAACTACCTTTTGTGTTCTAACAAAAAACATTACTTGCAAAATTTTAATATAACGCCCTTTTCGTCACACCATAACCTTAACTATACCGGTTTATTTTGATTGTTTTGACTTCACATTGCACCTGAGACAACCAGTGTTGTTCTCATGAGAATAGAGAATAGTACAGTAGTTATAAGTGTTCTCAAACATTATGATATGTTCACATTTATATCAAAAAAAGAGAGATATATATATATGTATGTATATAATCAAAAATTTTGAAATCAGAATATTAAGATGAAATTTTTTTAAAAATTTTAGATTTAAAAATCGTTCAATTCAAATAAACACATCACTTATCCGAAATTAGATATCAAATCATTCATTAATCTTAAAATCCTATATATTGTAGAAATAAACATAAAATGCACATTTAATGCTTTACAATGATAAATTAAAATCTTAATTATGTAAGTATAGCTGTTTAATATTAGAATTATATTATAATAAATTATATCTGATTTGGTGTAACAACCATTAGTAGCTACTTATTATATATGTACTTATGAGAACACTATTATTATTTTACTGTTCTCAAAAAAGTTTTTAATTAAAAAATTTACGTTGTGCACAAATTTATAATGGTGTTCTCGTGAGAACTTTGAGAACACTAATTTCCAACACTGGAGATAATAACATCGCATATGCAACGTATAAATTATCTTCGTTAAAAAATATACTATGTTAACATTTTTAAAATCAGAAAACGAAAATGCAATAAAAATTTTAATAAAGAACTATTTAAACGTTCAGGAATTGGGCTCTCTTTAATTTACATATTTGAATACTTTTAAATAAAAATTTAAAGTAAGAAAGAAATTGCACCTGTTCTTACCTTAAGAGCTCAAGATATATGCTAAAATTATATTTGAAAATACATGCTAAACATTATATTTGTAATTTATCGATAGATTCAGTGCGAGATCAATAATCATTGCTTAATAATGAAAATGTTATGTGACATTTTAGTGTTTACTAATTTCCTCACCACTTCACTATCGGAGTCTATAAAATTGATTAATAATATAGATATTCTGATACGTGAATAACTAGTAGAACCAATCAGAAGTGGTAGAAATGGTGAGGAAATTTAGCAAACCCTATTTATTCGATCGTATTTTCTAAAAGCTCTAACGATTTTACTTAAAAAATCCATACCAATAATTTCTGATTGGTTTTCTTCAGTTTTTTCCATTTCTGGTTTGTTTTTTTTTTATTTTTTTTATTAGATCCTTGTAGAGATTGGACCCGGGTAGCTGGTCACCCGCAGATGGGTCGGGTATTGGGTTACAATAACACCGACCTGGGTAAAGGTCAACCTGCAGGTTAAACTTGCAGATCAATCCGCGAGTTAGTAGAACATTTATAAGTAGCTGATATTATCATATAAAATCTTAATGAATTTGTGAGTTAAAAGCTTACTAAATGTTTGGTGAGTACGAAGAATCATTTATAGATTTAAATATCATTAAAAATAGAACAAAACAATGCAATAGCATTAACTGTAAATTGACTTCTCTACATACAAACAGATATGAAGAGTCATTTGCTGGCTTAAATAAATCACTGAAAAATCAATCCAAATAATAACATAAAGTCGAATAACTGCGGAAATGCTTATCGAATATTTGGTAAATATGATACAAAGAAGTAAAAATAGACCAAACAATGCAATAGCATTGATTAACTTATTTAAGGGTGGGTAAATATATTCTTGTTATTTAATAGGTATCGGTGAATACAGTGTATTTCATAGGTTAATAGTAAACCACGTGGCCTTTGGCCACGTGGTTTTACTATTAATCTATGAAATACACTGTATTCACCGATAACCTATTAAATAACAGGATTATCCCATGAGTACGACGTAACAATCTGTGTGATTACATAATTCATTAAACTTCCAAATTCGTAATTCATTAAACTTCCAGGTTAGTATTTTTTTTTTCTTATTTTAGTAATCAGATCGATTTTTTTCTTATTGTTATCAATTTTCGATCTTTTTTTAAAAAAAATGATCACAAGAAACAGTAACATCGCACCAACTGAAGCAGAAGTTCTGGAATTACAAGGGCTCTCGCATGTGGAGAATACAGATAAGTGTACCTTTAAGTGGCTACGTTCTGTTGACAGATTCCAGGAGACCGTAAAATATGAAAAAAGGATTGAAGAAATTGAGTCACTAATGGAATTAGATGACTTTTTGTGCAAGTTTCTTACTTGGTTAAAGTGAATAGATGGAAAAGATTACAAGGCCAAAAGTATTCATAACTACTATGCTTCCGTGGCCCGGTACCTAAAAGAACATAGTGAGATTAAACCCTGTAAATTGTGAGATTTGTATTATTTTGACAAGGCATTGAGAACGCTTGACAATAAAATAAAAAAGTTGTAAAATGAAGGTCTGGGGGAAATGGATCAAGCCTCACCATTGACTGCAGATGAGATTTCTCAAATTCTCAATCATGAAACTATGCAAGTTGATACTAATGAAGGTCTGACATGAAGAGTTTTCTTTTGGTTGTCACTTCTTTATAGTCTTCATGGTGGCGACGCTAAAAAAATTAAGTTTAAAGATATTTCTCATTGTGATGATGGTGGGTTTTGTCTTACATTTAACTATGAAAAGAACAATCAGCATGGGCATTGAAACACAACAAATATAGAAAAAGTTCTGCACAAAAGATCTCAATTTCTTCTGATCAAGTGAATAATTGCTTTAAACTGATTGAAGATATCTTGTATTTGATATCATTTCGTCCTGTTGATGCTTGTGAATCTTTTTTTTAGAAACAACACAGGCGACAAAGGGTTTAAAGTGTTTGTTTTTTGTTTTCTTTTGCTTATAATTCATTATTAACATTTTTTTTCTTTTATTTGTAGAGAAAACTAAAGGTATTTGGTTTAAGAAAACGCGTATAGGAACAAACAAATTAAAGCAATAATATTGAAAATAGCAGATCTTACTGGCATCAACCCTAATAATGGGCGTAAGGTCTGTAATCATTCATTACGATATACTGCGATTCAATGGCTAAAGGATTTGGATGTCCCCGAGGACGAATGTATGGTATTTTCTGATCACTATAGTAGGAAAGAGATTTGAGATTACAACAGCCTAAATAACACACAAAGACTTCGGAATATATTGATACTAATTCCACTAGATTATGATAATATTCCATATGAAGAGTTTGACTATTTTCCTAGAGACACCCAAAATTATATAAGTTTTGAGGCAGATGATTATGATGAAGGTTTGTATTAAAAATGATTTTATTACATGCAGTATTTTTTTTCTTTTTTTACAATAAATAACTATCTACTATACTAATTTCTTGAACACAAATTGTCAGAACCATCCTAAAGACTATCGTTAGAACTATCTGAAAAATTTTCACTAGAATCATCCCAAAGATCTTTGTCAAAACTATCTTCATTGGAACCATCTGAAAGATCTTTATTGAAACTATCTGAAAGATCATCATCTGAACTATCTGAAAGATCATCACCTGAACTATCCCAAAGATCATTGCAAAGACTATTTCAAAAATTAGCCAAAAAACCATCCAAAGGACTATCATATAGATTAAAGTCTACACTATATGCATCATTTAAACCACCTTACAAGATTTCGAATAATCAACCTACTTATATTCCTCCTAAAACTAGAAAATTATCATCAGCTCAAACAATACCAGCAGTTCGAGCAAGATCATCAACTCAAGCAAGACTACTGTTAAACGATCTTTCAAATCATTTTTTACCTTTAACTTACCAAAACATTAAGGATATTAACAATAATAATAAAGAAATTAAAGAAATTCATTATCATTTTCATTATCATTTTTAACTATGTATTTGAATGATTAATGTATATTTTTTTATTTAAAAATAATTACAAGAAAATGCTATTATTAATAAAAATAAGTGCTTTTATATTCATTTAATAAAGTATTTTTGACAAGATTATTCACATCGGTCTATATGAATCATGTGATTTTCATATAGACCGAAACTACTCCAAGAGCACCATCAAAAATTTTTTGATAATAAAATTTTTAAAAGTTTGTTAATACTAAGGTTAGCATTTATATTAGCGTTATTGTTAGCAAGATATAGTAAAATCGCCCAAGGAAAACTTTTTGTTAGTGCACTAAAGATGGTTTCCTATGCAGTTTTTTGAGTTATGGGCGATTTTTAGCAAAAAGAACAATTGTTTTTAATTTTCCTGATTGTGTTATGTTAGTGTTACATTACACCTGATCTTCAACTATGATTGGCTTGTAGTCACGTTTTGAAAAATTTTTGATGGTGCTCTTGGAGTAGTTGCTAAAGCCTTGTACCCACGTGACTTTTTCTATGTAGATCACCAATCAAAATCATGAGATTTTGTTTACACAAAAAACGGGAGTCTTAACCTGTCTTGGTACATTAATAAAAAATGATGGAAAGGGAATTTTACCTATATACCTGCCTTTACCCTAACAATAAACTAACCCTAACCCTAATTACAATTAAAACTTCGAAAGTCATGTAGGTACAAAGCTTTAGCGATCCCATGTACTCAGTTTCTTAAGAAAAAAACCTATAGTAAACGATTGAAAAATACTCATATCTCATGATCTATCAAACCGATTTTGATGATTTTACTGCCATCAGAATCAGAAAAATTAGCTCTACAACTTTTATTATAAGCTAAAAGAAAATTTACTTAATAAAAAAAAATTACTTTTATATGTAAGCAAGTCTCATTCCTATACTATAGAAAAAGCATATGAATTTCCGACTTTGTTTATTATAAAATTTATCATTTTTTCTACCCTTCAGAAACAATTTACTACTTAAATATTATATATTAGCTAAGGTCACAGGTCCGGTTTTTTCTTCAATAAACTATACTTATACGTTCCGTTTCACTCCGTTTTTAGTAAAGTTTTACCATTTATCGATTAAGGTTTATATTTATCGGAACAACCGAGAACATGAAGTTGTCTAACTGTAGTAGGTTGGCTATCCCAATAGGCAATTAAAGAATAAACTTCAAGTGCTTGAATGTCAATATATCCCGGTAACGAAACTTTAACTGTTATGTTAACACTTTTTCCAGGAGATATTGGACACGAATTATTTCCAACACAAATTTGTTGAGAATACGCATATACATCATTAGGTTGCCATAAATCAATGTATATTCTATCCTCAGGCACGAGCTGGTCCGCAATGTCAGTCCATACAGTAACCACCATATTCTGACCCGCAATAGGAGGTTGAGGGGTAACTGCCATATTCAATAAGGTTGATTTTCGTGAGACTCGTTGCATTAACAAATTATCACAATTTTTAAGAGTGTAAGCATTGACCGTAGGTATAATTAATAAAAGTAACAAGTAAATATAATTTTGATTCATGATTTTATGAAATAATTTGAGATGCAAAGTAAAAACCTTTTGAAATTTAAATATTTACCAGGTTAAACTTGGACCAATTAAAAATTTGATATAGTGCCTCGAACGAATGACCTGGAACTAACCATTATAAAAATTTACTATATAGATCATTGTACGTAATTATAATAAACTTATCACACCGATCTTAAATAGGTTTATAACACTGATCTTAAATAGCCATTCAGTAAAGTAAATTTTGATAGTACGTACGGTTAATACTGACTTGCAAAATTCAATTTTTATAAAAAATTCTTGTTTATAAATAACTATTTTAATGGTTAAGGTTAGGGTGAGCGCTAGTTTTGTCCTTTTTCATGTTGGGATTAGCAGTAAAAGTAACATAGATACGTACTATCTTGATCTGCCCTAATTTGCGTTAAAAAGTGTAAGATTTACGTTTACGTACATCTATGCGGGTCGGTTAAAGCGGAGCGAGGTATAGAGTTACCTTTTTGATGCATTTAAGGTTAGCGGGTTATATAGATATCAAGAATACAACATATGCAGTATGTAGATCATATATTGAATTCGCTCCGCTTTAACCGACCCCCATCTATGAGTAAACCCTTATTTGAATCTTAGGTTAAACCAAATTTATTGTTATTTCTTAATTAGTGATCTTTCGTTTTCGGAAACAGTAATAAAACCTATGTAACTCATTTCAATTTTAATTAGTGATCCCCTAACAAAATTGTTTGCGACTGACAAAACCCTTGATGATTAGCGAAACTAGTGATGGATCGGTCCGTCCTGATTAGTCTCGGTCCCGGTAGGCAGTGTTGTCATGTTCACAATGTCCAAGGCTTTTTAAATCATGTCCAAACGTCTACATATCCAAGAATGTCCACAGCATATTCAAACTTCAATATTAATGTATTAATTTAAATATATATATATGATAACCGTATATATTTTTTTATAGTGCTGAATATTTTTATTTAAAAAGTTAAAATAGGTTACTTTAATAAAATTTTGAGTAATTTGAATTTATTTATTTGTTCAGAAATGTCCAAGTGTTCAAACTCATGTCCACAACCGTGACAACACTGCTTTAATACGTAGTGTTAAGTTGTCTGGTCGATCCGTCTTTCTGTCGTCGATCCGTCTTTCTGTCCTAAAAATGGTTACATTCTTATATTTTATTATTAATACGAAATATTTTGAAATTATTATCTAACGCTAAAAACTAAATTGTTATAATTATGTGCAATATAAATATTGTAAGTGGGAATGGAACCATAATAGGGTTCGGAATCCACTTAGATTAAAATGGAATAATTATACTAAAAATCCTAACCTTAAAAATTCCGAATCAACTTAAATTCTATTCCCACCTACGACATATACATTAAATATTCATTGTATAATGTTACTTTCTTTTTGTACAAAGATAATTTAGTAAAGATAATTTAATGCAATAAAATAATTATAGGAGTTTTCTAATTATCCAAATTGCAAATTTCTTTTTGAAGTCAACTTTTTAGACACAGAATTGTCTTTGCAGATTTGTCATCTATCTATTCCTTTTTGATGAAATAGAAAGACTGGCTACGAAGAATTGCTTGCTCTGATAATCCCTTGCACATGACACCATATTAACAGATTCAAATCACTCTTAAATAGTAATAATAAATCCTTTTCTAGTTCATTTTGTAGACTACTTGACGGTTCATTTGCTGTAATAATTTTTGTCATTGTATTTCATCGTTGTTTGGCATTTTCACATTTGCTGGTAATAATTTTTGTCATTGTACTACATCATTTTCTGTCATTGGTGTCGCATTACCTGTTTAGAATAAGTCTTTCATTCTTCGTAATTGTCGTATTATGGCAAGGGTAATTTGTATGAAAACAATTTTGGATAGGGCAAATGAGAGTATTGTTCTTTTTTCGTTATGGTAAGAAAAATAACTTGGTTTGTAGAATTGTTTTTTTTTATGAACCTTACATACTATCACGGTTTCCACACTTTCGTCCTCATTTGCATTTTTGTATTGTATTACACTCAACTTTGTGTTGATTTACTATTATACCCAATCTCTGCAGACTTTTGATAATGAATATATTCATCCTTTTCAACTCCAATTCCGTTCCGTTAATAAAAGAAAATATAATCAATTTTGAATTTTGTCATTAAAGTATAACATATTTAAATTTTGTAAAGAATCTCCTGATAAATTTTGTCGATTACTATCTAAAATTGAATTATATTTGAAAAGCTTCACTCTACATTGCACGAAAAAAACAGGCAGTTTTTACATTATATGAAAGGGTGAAACCCGCGACAGAGGTAGTTACGTTGTTGATGCAGAGCTTATTTAGTTAGAGTTAGTGATAGGTTAGTTACTAGATAGTGATCTGCATCAATAACGTAACCACTTTTGCGGGTTTCACCCTGTCGAATTTTTTTTCATGCTGGGTTAACGATAAGTATAACGATAATCATGAATAATATTTGAATTTCACCTATTGATTTGATTGGCCAATGACCGCATTTATTGACATGAATTAGACAACCAGATGAATATTATGCTACAAGTGTGAATTCTGCAAGAATTCTGCGTCACTTATGATACATTTCTCGTTATTACCTGATTCCGTGATTCTGTGGCATTCCGTGAAACACAGAAAACCATCGTTCCTGATCCAGTGTTATTACAAAATTTCTTTATTAAGTTGCAATTCTTGAATGTGTGCCAGGTTTGTGGCGCAGAATGCCTGAACTACGAATCACATTTCAAGATCAGGTGCAACGTAACATGAACAGGAAAATTCAAAACGAACGTTTATTTCTTGAAAATTTGCATATAAAATTACTCTTCGAGCACTAACAAAAAGTTTTCTTTGAGTAACTTTGTTATATATGTTCCTAATCTCTAATCATAATAAAAGCCTAAACCCAAAATTAAATAATTTTGAAAAGAATTTTGACTGCGCCACAAACCTGGCACA